GTCTGAAGGAAATGCTGTAACATTGGTTAAATTGTGTAACCTAATATGTTTTGTTACGTCGAAAAATGGTTGTCGTGGATTCTAATCTCAGTCGGCTTTTAAGTCTTGTCGGCTACAATAAGTCATCTTCCATCATAATTCCAGTCGACCCGGCTGTAAATATCCGAGAGAGATCAATGCCAAGAGGTTTGGCAGAGGATCAGCAAGTAGACAATACCCTTCTTTTAACCTTACGGTTTCTCATACCGCTACATATCTACCGACTCGCTCTCCGAACCTATAAAGTGTTTTATAATCGGTGTATAGATTATTTAGAGAGTATTGAGATCTTGAAACTCTGCTAGAATCTACAGTTCATTAGAGAAAAATAATATTTAAACACAATACAAATAACTTCAGATCTATCGCTGTGTTTACTTTCAGTACAGACTCTATTTGATTCCAGAACATGTCAGTATGCCCTTCAGATAATAAACTATTGATGTTCTGAACTAAAGTACAGGTATGACATGTCTAAATTGTACTTTAATATGAAAAATAAACACAATTATATAATTAATAAACCTACAAGAAAGTTCGCAGGCTGAAAACATATCAGATGTTTGAAGATCGCATAGCGTCAAACTCTAAGTAACAACATGATTCAAGTTTCGTTTATTAATTTTTATACTTCCAAGTGTGTCATAAGAAACTGGTGTAGAGATTTAATCAATGAATCCCGTCCATAATAACAGGTCTAATCTCTTGTCTATTTGTGAGCTGAGGGATGTAATAAGGGTTTTAAGCCTCACCTCGTAAACATCCAATAATTGTACTGGAAATTGTGAAAGATTGTATGGGAGAGTTGGTAAGCATACTCAGAATAATGTCCATGCAGAGTAAAATTGCAAAAATTGAAAATATACGAAACAATATTTGATGTCTGGTAATTTTATTTGAAGGAGTAAAAAACGATTGTAGTTTTTACGAAACAAATTAACTTCTTCATTTCGGTGTGAAATCGCTTTTAAAATCCTTGATAGGTTGCTATTAAAACTGAAATATAAACGGTAAAAAACCTGGAAGCGTCAGAGTGAAAAATAAAAACATTAAAGGTTTTGACAGAAGACATTGAATACGCCATTATTCTGTGGACAATCTCAATAAAAAGCAAGAAGCAAAACAATTCCGTTAATCAAAACCTTGGACAAAGAATGGTAAAATCAAGAGTAAAAATATTTTATTGGATTAAAGAGAAGTACAGTTCTGAGGTATTTTATTATTTCTCACAATTGACAAATAAACGTTGATATGGAGTGAAACGTCCATATTTTCTGCCCCTGATTGAGTTTATGTAGATGAACATTGCCACGCAGTGTGAATGAGAGAATTATACCAGGACAGTGCTCAGCATAAGTCTACCCTTATCACTAACATTATATTACGACAAGAATTTATTCCCCAAACACCTTGAACAATAAGGAGGCATTCTTTAATTAAAAGTGTCATCAAGTGTCTAGAAGAATAAATTATGTTGTATACGCTCTATTCTAGGCATAGGTTATATTGTAGCATAATATATAATAAGCTAACCTCATTCAATATGAGATCATGGAGAGAAAATATCAGCGGATTAAAATCAACATGACATTGAGACACCCCTAGAGATCTACACCACATTAACTTTTATAAATTTCACCATTTTTACAGAATTTCTACATCAATGATCTCTTTATGGGAATAGAGTTAGTGAAAGGTTGAATTATTTTAAAGAAATTTGATCATTTGACGTAGTTTTTTCCAATTTTTAAGCTGAGAAAACCAAAACTCCCTGTAGAATTCCTGTAAAGTTTGTGTGCATCGTTAATCAATCCTATTTCATGTGCATCGCATGTCATTTTGATTTAATTGATGATTTTTCAATGTTTTTATTTTATCTGATGCAAATTTATCAAACAAATCATGGGTAGGAATAAATCTACCAAGCTGTGAAAAATAAAATCATTAAAAAACTTAAACTATTTGTAATAGTTTCTATGCTCTTTGATCTCAGTCATAAAATGTTTCATCATTAGTTTTATATTTTAAATTGCACATGAAAAACAAACATCTGTGAAATGAAATGAATTGTGTTTTGCGTCCTGCTCTTCTTCATCTATAAAACCATAACAGAAATATTGCATTATGTTACATGACAAACAGCAATATGCATTACCGGGAGTATCTTTCTGCCTCAAACAACAAGAATTGGGTAAAAAATTCTTCCCCCTTATGGTTTGATCGCGGTTGTTGTGAAGGAAAAAACAGATTGTTTAGTTACAGCACTGTAATTGAAATTGAAATTATGGAATATTTTCTCACTTATTATTGATATACTTCCTCATGTGAAAAGTTCATTAGCTACTACCAATCTTTCGATTTCGCGTCTAGTTTAGCAGTTGGTATGTTTATTATCCCCAACCAAACGTTTTGTTATTTTCAACTCTAGGGTCACTATCTAAAATGGCGAGAGGTTGCCATTTATTGGCATCTCTTATGAAACACCCTGAAAGTTTTAATGTCAGCCATTGGATCCGCCTGACAGAAGCTGATGTTAAAAGGATTGTCTTTCCTTGTTTCCATCTAATTTGCTGACAAACTCATAAAACTGTAACGTTTATCTATCATACAATCAGTGACTGTATCGTCAACAAACTAGACATATTATACATCTATCACTCCCTGAAGAGGTTAATATTGTATTCAACCCATCCCTTAACACTGGCCTGTTTCTCGTCATTCAGCTATCTACTGAACCATCGAATTGTTAGCGAGTCATTGTTTGTGTTACATCAATATCGGCCATCCCCAGGGTCTAATCTCTTTATATACGTATTTCTTTTCATTCAAATATATTCCATTTCCTTTACCATTATCATTGGTTCCCTGATAACACAGACTAATTGAATATATTGTCGAGATATCTTCTTACGTTCTATAGTTCAACACACTGGCCATCAGGCTTAGTATTCAATGATATCAGTATCAGATCGTCCTGTATTTCCCTGACAGAGAATACAGCCTTTGTGTTCAATGCACTAGTATCAGATCGTCCTGTATTTCCCTGACAGAATACAGATTTGGTGCTCAATGCTACCAGTATCAGATCGTCCTGTATTTCCCTGACAGAGAATACAGCCTTGGTATTCAATGCTACCAGTGCCAGATCTTCCTGTATTTCCCTGACAGAATACAGACTTGGTGCTCAATGCTACCAGTATCAGATCGTCCTGTATTTCCCTGACAGAGAATACAGCCTTGGTATTCAATGCTACCAGTGCCAGATCTTCCTGTATTTCCCTGACAGAATACAGACTTGGTGTTCAATGCACTAGTACCAGATCGTCATGTATTTCCCTGACAGAATACAGACTTGGTATTCAATGCTACCAGTATCAGATCGTCCTGTATTTCCTTGACAGAAAATACAGACTTGGTGCTCAATGCTACCAGTATCAGATCGTCCTGTATTTCCCTGACAGAGAATACAGACTTGGTATTCAATGCTACCAGTATCAGATCGTCCTGTATTTCCCCGACAGAATACAGACTTGGTATTCAATGCTACCAGTATCAGATCGTCCTGTATTTCCCTAACAGAGAATACAGACTTGGTGTTCTATGCACTAGTACCAGATCGTCCTGTATTTCCCTGACAGAATACAGACTTGGTGCTCAATGCACTAGTACCAGATCGTCCTGTATTTCCCTGACAGAATACAGACTTGGTGCTCAATGCTACCAGTATCAGATCGTCCTGTATTTCCCTGACAGAGAATACAGCCTTGGTATTCAATGCTACCAGTGCCAGATCTTCCTGTATTTCCCTGACAGAATACAGCCTTGGTGTTCAATGCACTAGTACCAGATCGTCCTGTATTTCCCTGACAGAATACAGACTTGGTATTCAATGCTACCAGTATCAGATCGTCCTGTATTTCCCTGACAGAGAATACAGACTTGGTGCTCAATGCTACCAGTATCAGATCGTCCTGTATTTCCCTGACAGAATACAGACTTGGTATTCAATGCTACCAGTATCAGATCGTCCTGTATTTCCCTGACAGGATACAGACTTGGTATTCAATGCTACCAGTATCAGATCGTCCTGTATTTCCCTGACAGAATACAGACTTGGTATTCAATGCTACCAGTATCAGATCGTCCTGTATTTCCCTGACAGGATACAGACTTGGTATTCAATGCTACCAGTATCAGATCGTCCTGTATTTCCCTGACAGAATACAGACTTGGTATTCAATGCTACCAGTATCAGATCGTCCTGTATTTCCCTGACAGGATACAGACTTGGTATTCAATGCTACTAGTGCCAGATCTTCCTGTATTTCCCTGACAGAATACAGACTTGGTGTTCAATGCACTAGTACCAGATCGTCCTGTATTTCCCTGACAGAATACAGACTTGGTATTCAATGCTACCAGTATCAGATCGTCCTGTATTTCCTTGACAGAGAATACAGACTTGGTGCTCAATGCTACCAGTATCAGATCGTCCTGTGTTTCCCTGACAGAATACAGACTTGGTGCTCAATACTACCAGTATCAGATCGTCCTGTATTTTTCTGACAGAGAATACAGACTTGGTGTTCAATGCTACCAGTATCAGATCGTCCTGAAAATGCAATAATTTCACCTAACTCGGAATGGTTGAGGCTCTCGCTTGAAAACATAGTGCTGTGATCTAATAGAGCGAGATGCCATAAAATCATATTTAAAGCCATTCCGAAGTCTTTAAATATGATTTGAGGGCTTTTTTGAAATATTAATGCCTTTTTCAAAATTCGACTTATTAAGTCGAGATAGACATTCAAAATGGTTGTAAACGATGTTCGTATGGAGATACTCGCAATTAGTATGTTTTGCACTGTCAGGTGGACCTGGTATTGCCAACGGACTGTTTGATGCTAGAGGAGGGACATCTCTACTCAATATAAATATACGATCTAGTCGACCAGGACAATATGGCTATTAATATTCATAGTAAGTATGAAAAATATTGTCATCTACCAGACCCGGTATTTATCCTAATTACCAGATAAATCATAGTTTAACTCTCCTCCATGATGGCCAACATTGATCTCCCTAACTTTTAACATTGATCTTACTAACTTCTAACATTGATTTATTAATAGTTTATACTCCAGAGTTTAGTATATATATCATGCTACTCACCGTTTAATACGACTAGTATTATACAATGAATAAATCAAAATATAGTAAGTTTTTAAACTCTAAAATCTGATTCCACTCTACGGCTTGATTCATCAGCTCTATAATACATTTTGTATAAGACTCTACAATAGGTTGATCAACTTGGAATCCATTTCAGATGTTTGTCAGTTTGGCATGTTATTCAGAGAGTTTACAAATCTTATATTGTTTACATGGTAGTCTAACTTGCGCAAACGTCTAGAAGAAATTCTCAAAGCACTCTTCATTCAATTTTACCGTTAAACCATCAGCAACCAGTTGAAGCAGCTGGTCTTTATTTGATACATGTATATTTAACATATTACCTGTGTTGGTGTTTTGGGTTTTTGTCCTTCTGGTATGTCACAGTATGATTGTAAATGTAAAGTTTATATATCTATATTGCATATCTCGGAAATATTAATGTAGAAATATAGTCTATAATGTTAAGAGCTAGAATAATGTATGTCACGAAAGGAGCTAATTCTGGTAAAATAGATACCGGAAAAGTTGAAATATTTAGTATAAGTATACTTCAAACTATAACTATTAGCATGAATACATTTCAGTATGTACAGCGAGATAGAGGAAAGGCCTGTTTCTGCTCGTTGCCCAATCTTTGGAGTTTCACTTTTTGTGACATTTTGTCTGCTAACATTGTTGCAACGTGTGTACCAAATGCGACCAAATTGTCCTCGCTAATCTTCTCAAAGTGTTCTTCAATTACATTTTTCCCATTCTTTCTTTTAACATAATTTCAATTTACATCCCGGATACAATTAAGCGGACAAAATATCACGTAATATTGAAATTCTAAAACCAGATATAATGCACCACGAATATAGGTAAGTAGATGATAAGTTAACGTTCGCTTCCAGTGGATGCTGAATCTAGGTAGTTGTTGGTAGTCGTAATAGTTGGTAAGAGGATTGTAAAGTACCAGGAATAAGGTTATATAAATTCAGGACTATATGAGAGACCAAAGAAACATTATTCATAAACACACGAAAGATATAAAAAAAATCATTCATCCAAACAATTTATATCCAGACAATTTCCATCATAAATACAGAATATTCCCATTTCTTTTTTCTACATCTCAGTCATAAAATACATTAAACAGGGAATTAACATTCACCAACGATAACCGATTATTTCTTATTGTCTTTTGGAGACAGAATACTGCTTCAAGTCAGAGAAGGAATAATCACGAGTGTACTTTTATCAATCGAGTTTTTACCATAGGCATTCTAAAATAGTGCTTTTTACTTTCTAATTATAAACAGACAAGACAGAAGTGCACCTTCTGGGACGTTGATTTTGGGTTGATTTGGGTCTTGAATATATGTAAATAGTCTTCACTAAAAATATCCGGAATCGCATAATTCCTTCAAAATTATCTCAAACTAGGCATTTGAAGGCTCAAATTTCAACGGTGAGCTGTGAACACTTAGATAAAAACAAAAATTCTCATTTCTGAAATTAAGGTATGATTGGTCAACGGATTGCTATTTTAATAATTTATGGCTTTATTTAATAATGCCAAACTTAAAATTGGTACAAAATATCACAGATGATTTTTAGGATGCATACTCATGAATCATTTTTTATCTTGAAAGCGTTTCTGTGATATACCTAGCGCGGACCTATGAGGAAGCATATATACCAGATAATTGATATATTAGCTAGAGACAGTCAACATGACAGCACAGAAAACAGCAGAGACTTTGATTGATGTTACATCATCTTTTGACATAGATTCTCGCTTAAATTCCACATGGCCCGATCGCTTCATTGCATTTTGATTAAAGAAATAAATTGCCTTCAAATTGCTTGTATATTTAATAGAAAGGAGAGGAGAATGCCATATAACCTAAACAATAGCCTACAGCTAGAATGTGAAGCCACGTTAATAAGCCGCTAAATGATATTCTACTTCCCATTGTCATAATAACAATACAAAAAGAGAGTAAATGGATTTAAAATGCATCTGAGATGGTTCGCAATAAGTGTGTAAGAGGGATCGATTGCATTCTATTACTACTATCCTCATAAAATCAATTCACGTAATGTATTTCTAATACCAGTCATTTTTTATCTGGAACATTTAAACCTGAGATATGTTTCCACCTGGTTTGATTACTCACTTGTCCGAGCTATTCTGACACATCGTATAGCTGAATTAGAATTGGATTCGAGCGTTCAAAGCTCACCCAGGTAGTAATCTTAGAATCCTCTCTACGACCAGTGCTTAAGTATCAGTCTGATACAGGATCCCTACTTGTCCAATCAGTCTAATACAGGATACCTACCTGTCCAATCAGTCTGATACTGGATCCCTACCTGTCCAATCAGTCTGGTACAGGATACCTACCTGTCCAATCAGTCTGATACATGAACCCTACCTGTCCAATCAGTCTAATAAAGGATCTCTACCTGTCCAATCAGTCAGATGCAGGATATCTACCTGTCCAATCAGTCTGATAAAGGATCCCTACCTGTCCAATCAGTCTGGTAAAGGATCCCTACCTGTCCAATCAGTCTAATACAGGATCCCTACCTGTCCAATCAGTCTAATACAGGATCCCTACCTGTCCAATCAGTCTAATACTGGATCCCTACCTGTCCAATCAGTCTGATACTGGATCCCACCTGCACAATCTAATAAATCGTAGAACTCAAATTTACCACTTCTTTATATTGTTAGAGTTTTTCTGAACACCTGATGAAACTATACAACTGAGTTTGTCATTTCAGTACCTCTATCTTACTATCCAGAAAGGCTAATAATGTTCATTTAGTATATCGCATCAGTCCTAAGATTTCTCCATAGCTCGTAATGTATTACTTCCATTTGTCCATCATTCAATTAAGATAAGAAGTCGCCGAAGGGGAAGGTTTTGTCAAGGCTGAATCGTTCGGTTATAAAATTGATTGACAAATCTTCAAGTAACGGTGATAAAATCTAACTCTTTCAACAAGTGATATTTTGTTGAGTCTAAAAAATCTTGTCAGATCTTGAAGTGTTAAAAAAAATATACACGCTTCAAGATAACAACGATTTGCAGGATTGCTGAAAGAAGGTTTAAATATTAACGCGGTTGGATTCAGAATTCGTGAACTGAATAAAAGCAGGAAAGAAAGTTTTATTTGATCATTTGACACAATCTCGAAAAGGTCTACTGAGCACTTTACGTTTATTTGAGATGAAAATTCAGAAAAAAAATTCTCATAACAGCTGATTCGATTTATTTACGGCTGATCAACCATTCATTAATTCATTAAAAGACTGAGGGTACAACTACAAGTGCAACAAAATTCTCACAGTGCAAAAGAGATCGTTATTTAGCTCACAACATACCCCATTGGATACTGCAACAAGACTAATTTTCCACACGTTCAAGAGCAAATACAAAAAAACAAAAACTAATTGGTAATCGAACAGGCATTCAGCCATAAACTTTGTCCTTGAGGGTGTAAATAACTGGAATAACACGGTACCAGATTCAGAAACATCTTCATTGACAAAGGGTATCTTTATTGAGTTAAACCCTTCACTTCATTACATCTTCAAATGTTTTCAAGAACTTTATCTTATTTTTATGACAAAATTTCTCACTTAATTGGAGTTAATAAAAAGTTACAGCTCTAACAGTCAATGTTCGCTGAATGAAACATTAAATACCACAGCAAATATCATAGAATACAGTCATAAAATATTTCACTGGCCTATTTCTACAAGCGATGGCTGTTTTATTTATATTTTATTTTATGACTGAAATTCGTGCTGATTGGAATTTATTGAGCTGTTATTCGATCAGATTTAAATTTTAATTTTTTATGTCACTAATAAAATCATCTTGATCAGTTAAAGTTACATTTCTTATATTTCAGTAAGAACGCAGGCTGAAAGTTGGTCATTTGTCTGAAGATCGCATAGCGTGAAACGCAGAGTAGCAGCGTGGTTTTTGGGGGGTTCTGTTTTAATATTTATATATCGCTTATTTATCCTCATATAATATTATCTATTGTTCTATGTGCTGAATGTTACAAAGGACTTCGATGTATTTGACGTTATTCTGACCCATGTAAAATAAAGAGTTTGTTTGTCCCCTATGGGCTGAATATTAGACAGGACCATATCACTTTGGTGTATTGGACCTAATTGTGACCCATGCGAAATAACGAGTTTCGTATTTATTTAGTGATTTATCGATAGGAATGCTTGGTTGACAAGTTCAGACTCAAAAGTTTTATTCGGTGTTTCCGAGCGGCCCCACTGTAAGTAAAGTGATTTAAATCTGAAATCGATCAAATTATGATGTTAGTGATGACCTTGTCCATCTTTCCGAGAAGGGTATAGTTTTCTTTTGTAAATCGACGGAGCTATTTATTATCAACCATTTGAAGCAAGGTTTGTTTGTAGTCTTGCTATCTGCTTGGTGATTGTCAAAATAGAAAAAAGGTGGTTAAGTTAATGATTGATTCTTCATTGATAATAATAAGTTTTTACTTAATTAATTTATTACATTTAACTAAACAAAACATATTAATAATCTGACACATTTGATCCTGAATCACAAAGAAAAGATGACAGACGACAGAAATCGATGTTGTAACAGTAAATATGATTAGAAGGACAAATCGAACATGTTGTTTGTTTGTAATATTCTAACGCTGAGATTAAACTTATTGAATTTACTACGGTAACTTAAACCTTATATAGTCTAGACTCCCTTTAACGTGTTTTTTTTCCTAGGAAAGCTTTCAGGCTGATTAGTAGGAGCAAGTCGTGAGGATCATGAAAACACGGTGAATCTGGAGGCTGTAATATCATGAAAGGAATCAGGTTGTAATGGAGATAGTTTATGATTGGAATATAATAGATCGATCTTTCGTGATTTCCTTCACTTTTCTGTCAAATCAGATTAAACAAGTAGTAAAAATCTTGTTTGGTTGGTTGGTAGATGACAAGTTCACGTTCGCTTACAGTAAACTGATATCACATAATGGTAGAAATGTTAAAACTAATCCTGTTTAGAGTGAAGACGCGGACCTATGAGGAAGCTTGATGTCTGTGATATGGACATGAGGTCCGAACCGAGGCCTAGGTATGGAGAACAAAATGTTAATTCCCAATCTTCGTCACTGTTCTCTCTACTTCCTAGTCACCCACGAGGACATTTGTAAATTTTGTAATGTTATTTGTTAGGACAAATGTGTTATTATTTGGACAGTCAGAAAACTCATTCGGATACATCATTTACCTTACTGACGGCGATATCGTTTTGGTGACCCTCCGATCTCGATCTTTTCAACCACCGATAAATAGCAAGGTAATTCTGCATAACATTAAAGTAACCTTTAAATATTTCGAAATTTGTTTAATCAATTAAATATCAGACCTATTATAAATGTAAATCCAACCTACTAGAAAATCGAAGTGTTTTATACGAAATGTTAACAGAAAATGAAGGCACTATAGAATGGTCTGGTATTTCTATAAAATCATTCAGACGATAAATTTATTTTGGTTTCTGCACCCAATAACCCATGTTATTATTCTTCTTGTAATAGAACTATAGACAATTTAGGTTAGTCAGTACAATGTTGAAACAAAGTAGGTCAAAATCAGATTGAATCTTTACTAGGATACGGGAAGGATGATATACTATCAGATCTGATCTTTATATCTTTGGAGATGGAACAAGCTGGTTTGAATATATAGTCGGTTACAGTGGTTGCGTGTGGCATCATCTGGAGTCGCCGATCAGCGTGTGAAAGCTTATTGACCTTGAACGAGTCATATTTCTTAATAACTCCCGTCCAGACCCAGCTGTAATGGGTACAGAAAGATGGGAAACCTTGGTTTGAATCTGTCATTATACGCGCTCATTTACTTCTGGATCAGTTGGAACATTGAGGAAATGTGATCTTCTTATGCCTATCGAGATGAGAACCCACGACCGCAACGTAAGACAGTAAATGATTTCGAATTCTTACACGGCCACGACATATTGGAGGTACATAATGTGGTGGTTACTTGATACCAGCTCTCCCTGTAGACTTCGAACTCTATATGATTTATAGATGGATATGATGAGAAATGGTCAAATTATGGAAGTATCTTGTTAGAAGATCTTATATTCTGTCCAGTTTTATGGTCATATTTACACTTTCTTCATGATCTTTAAACCTGGCCAGTGGCCATTATAGTTTCCCAAATTCAGCTACAAACATCACTGTAAACAGCCACTGACTGGTATAGTTGCTTCTTCCAATGCATTGCCTAACCTTGCGACTCGAATCATTAGTACCTTTGTTTCTGAAAAGCCTAAAAATTATCGAGTTGTTTCATAGTATCCTTTTGTCCACATACGACTCATTACCTTCATATTACCCTACAGAGACTGATCAACTTTACATCGTCCAACATACTCTTTCAACACTCTAGAGTGGTGATAATAAACAATGATAATAATAATTCTTCACAGTAATTTCTCTTACGTCGAGGACACATAGCTATGTAATTTGTAAATTCTTTTGCTAATTGGGATCTATATATATAATCTACTGAGTTTATCATTTCATGTGGTGTACCTGAAATAACTGCTATTATTTACCTCTTAGGATTACTCTTTGTTCATCAGTGGTCATACCTGGTATCATAACTATACAACAGAATCCCTTTATAATCTAATAAATCTATAAAACTAAGTAATAATCCATTAAACTAAGTAATTTCTAAACATGCTTAGAATTGTGTTTCAATAATTATTTAGTTTAATAGATATATCGTCATATATAGAGATTATATTTTTAGTCATGGTACCTGGTAAGTGAATATATATTTTTGTTGACCAAGTTTTACATTATGTGTTCTTTCCAAGAGGTAGTATCTTTTTAGACAAAACAGAATGTCTTTTAAATGATGTGCATTTTTCAGTTTCGATTCGACACGATCTCATAAAATGACCAACTTTTTCCATTTTTCCATTATTAGATTTCACCAGGAGAAAAATTAGCTTCTTGAGATAATCCAGGAATACACTTCTATTTCATTTTTAAATATTCAATCAACAAAAGAGTAAAATGTTGAATGATCTGATAACGGAGCTATAAATTTGATTAGGAATGGTTAATGAAACTTTGAAATACTCCAATAAAAGGGCTATCCTATTGATAGCGAGTGAAAATAAGTTCATTGTAACCGACTTCTAATAAACCGAATATAATCATGAGATTTTAATCTGGGATATTTCAGAATTTACATGTTCATTTTCCCTGTAACTGGCTGAGACGGCGGTAAAATATTTACATTAGTAGGCAATTCAAACACTTTTATTGGCGAAATCAATAGAAAAACACCGGTAATTGATTAGCCGGCTATCTAATATATATCTCAAGACCCATCTCGACATTAACCGTGTGGACATACTTTGTCAATAGAAAGAAAATAACGTTTCTGCCACGTATTCACCAGTATTTATCGGGTTTTACCACCAGCCAGACACTGAGCAAATATCAACTGTATCTTAATTTTAATTATTATAACTTAAACTGAATTGCTAGAGCGATAATGTGAAAATGTGTCTAACGATATGCGTCTAATGTTGTTAAAGGCGTCTAATCGATGTTGAAGCTTCTTGTCTCTCAAACTTGAAGTTTCAGGATTGTCAGACAACTCAAATAGACAGTCTTATTTACCAACACGTGGACATGCAACTACAAATCTCATTTGTATTTACAGTTCTTAAAATAGATAGAATGGAAACTCTAAAACATACACTGTATAACAGTTATCAGGCTAGGTCTTTGGAAAGAAACCTGCTTCTGTTGTAATCAAAGGGTTTCTTGGTTTTTGTCAGTTATAGATGCACTTTGGAACCAGTTTAAGTGGAACTAATCTGTTTATGCCGTCTTAGCTCAATCAATTGCAGAAAAATGTTAACAATTCTATTTTATCTACAGTTTCTGAATATACAATATATATATATACCATATACCAGTGTTTTTGGACATTGACTGGAGATCTCAAAGCTAATTGGCCAAGTTGCAATTTATCCATATAAATGTCTTTCCTTTCATTACAGGCCTGGTCACAGAGAACAGTACTTACATTACAGAAGTTGAAGTTTGAAGGTAAGACTATCATTCCATTTTACATTGTGCAACAATTAACAGAGTATCATATTCACAGTTATATATCTCAGTATAAAAATTACTGACTCCAAACAAGTATATGTCCTACAAATGATGACTCTCTGGTAACAAGCTGTTGTAGAAAATGAAATGATAAAGGAAATGAAATGAAATTTGTTAAAAGGCATCAGCACCAAAACAAGCTACATAGCAACTTAACACGATAACAAAAAACTGATGCAATGTCCAGTCTCCAATCTCCAAAAGGTATAACTAGCATTATAAAACAATATGTCCATTAGATATCGGTCTGGAACTGCAAGATATTATTCATCTGTTCTGATCTGAAATGACATACAATTAAAACTCACCCAATGGACTTTAGTTTGCTACGAACAATATAGAATTTAAATTTATAACTAGGATGGGACGAATATAAATAAAAATTCCGTACAAGCAAGACAATTCCGTTAATCAAAATCTCATTCAACGCATGGCAAAATTAAGAGTAAAAGTTGTGTAGTAGTGGACTCCAACGAAGAGAAGTATCATCAGGTGTTTCTAAAAGAGTAAGCATGTTCTGCTTCGCGCACAGACTCGTATAAAGATAGTGGCAGTGTGCTTGTAAGTACCGATATTCTATTGTATAAAATATAATACTGCTAATGTTACTATGTTGTTTTTCAAAGGCTGTGTTTTTGTAAATTATGCAGCCATAAAGGCAACTTCAGATCATATGTTGTCAACTGATTATTAACAAATAGAGCAATTGCATGTACCTTGTGACATATTACAGTTATCTTTGATGTAGAGTGTATTAATACTATAAAACAACACAATATATCTCTCCAAGTGCCACTTTACTGTCATAAATGTAATAGAATCAACTAATGATTGAAAAATAATGTAATTGCATGCACCCGGTGACATATATTAGTGATTCGAGGTGAATTTGTATTATAAATCATTACATCTCTTCGAGTGCAATTTTACTGTCATAAAGGTAAGAGATAGACAACTAATCCTCACTGGAATCTAACTCAGGAGATTTCCCCGGTCTGTATTTACCTGTCTACTGTTCTTATCATCGATATAATAATGTAACATCTCTAATTCACTATACATAGCATTCTGATACAAGTAGTGATAATTCTATATCATTCCATTATGATGTGGGATGTGGAATGAAACAGCCCACAATAATTGTTAAAACTGACTTTTATATCATATTCTGTCCATCATTAAATTTGTCTGGTGAAGATAGAAATCTCCAAACCGACTGAAATATAATTCTGATCGAATTTTGCAGTCAAAAATAACTCAACACCACCTTTATGGACTGGATATGCAGTTACAAAATGATATAGTACATCAGGTGTTCCTAGATTGACATTCTGTATTCTTCAATGTGTATTTTGGTGTATTGTTTTTCTAGGGACTAATACCCTACGCCAACAGCGACACCCGCCATAGAGTTATGAATTGGTCAGTGTAATATTGAGGCTGGTATGTTTCTTAGTTTTGTTTTTAAATCAGTGATATCTTTAGAAGAGAGAAGTGAGACTATGTTGCCCTTGTAGTAGCCTACCTACTCTGATGGAGCCCGTACAGCTTCCAACTGAACTTTGACTATGGAGTTGGTCAATCATTTTGTGTGAGTTGGTCAATCATTTTGTGTAATACTTATTGTATAACTTATTGACAAACTCAGTGGCATCAAGTGACCTGGAATAGCGCGACTACGCTGCCACTGTGATAATGGTACATTTGAACTTTGACCTCCGAGCTAATCGGTCAGTAATAAAAGCTGTTATGACCAAGTTGTGTATCTGGTTTTAACACTAGCATTATCTAGAGCCCTCGAGGGTGTCTTTACTATTAACCTACTCAATATACAGTAAACAACTAATTCTCGCAATTCATTACCACCGGAAACAAACAATAATTCTCTTTGATTGTCGTAAAAATCTATTTGTATTGATTTAGACTCGTCATGAAACAAGGGTATTTTAAATTTAATTCTGTTATAAAGTATTCTGTGGAGGTGACAACTTCTAGAGTCCATGCGGAGTAAATTAGTTTTTGGGAATTCGGCTTTGCATACGGTATGCATTTTTGTGATTAGACTTTGCTGAAGTCTTTTCCATTTAAACATAGAATATATAGTTAATTCGGTAATTAGCTTAGCCAACGCGGCATCTCTTTCAGAGAGTCCACATAGCTTATAATGTGTATTAAGAATTAGGTTTGTCAAATATATTTGTATATTTAGTAATAAAACAGTATGGGTTTATAAAGGGATGTCGGAAACTAGGCTGTATATTACTGTAATTGTTTTATAAATGACCTTTTTTTTGATTGAAGTTGATTACCAAGCTTCCAAACTTCTAGCGATCTACAATTAAACCCTTGGTATCGGTTCGAATCCTTATAGCATAATATAATGAACTTTCGCGGTTGATTTAACTCTATTACTGTTAATGACTGTCATAATATCAATCTGTCATGTTAAACTGTGTAAACTACAACGATGGATTCAGCAGATCGGAAACGATTATAATATAAATAAAACCATCATTTATTAACAAAAATCTAAGAAAAAAAAGAAAATAATAAAATATTTGCAGTGTTAAAAATATGTTCAATACATCAATTGTAGAGTGATATAGAAATACTACTGTTAGAATAGTGTTCAATACATCAATTGTAGAGTGATATAGAAATACCACTGTTAAAATAGTGCTCAATACATCAATTGTAGAGTGATATAGAAATACCACTGTTAAAATAGTATTCAATACATCTATTGTAGAGTGATATAGAAATACTACTGTTAAAATAGTATTCAATACATCAATTGTAGAGTGATATAGAAATACCACTGTTAAAATAGTGCTCAATACATCAATTGTAGGGCAATATAGAAATACCACTGTTAAAATAGTGTTCAATACATCAATTGTAGAGTGATATAGAAATACTACTAGAAATACCACTGTTAAAATAGTGCTCAATACATCAATTGTGGAGTGATATAGAAATACCACTGTTAAAATAGTGTTCAATACATCAATTATAGAGTGATATAGAAATACCACTGTTAAAATAGTGTTCAATACATCAATTATAGAGCAATATAGAAATACCACTGTTAAAATAGTACTTAAAACATCATTGTAGAGCGATACAGAAATGCCACTGTTAAAATAGTGCTCAATACATCAATTGTATTAAAACAGAACCTGAAACATGTTGGTATAAACAGCCATATTTCTTGTGTTTTATCTATCAGTCTATTGATTTCTATTATGTTACATCACACTATTACGGGTGTGAAAAATAGACAAATTATCAAATTCCAGTGATATAAATCAAAGAAAATAAAGAAATATTTCGACAGGCCAGTTTCATCAGCAGACTGTGCCATTGATATTTCAATATTCAGCCATCACTTGATTTATATCAAACCTGACTAGCATCTTTATTATCTCTTTACGACGATGATTTACTGTTTCAAAATAAAAGAAACCAAGAACGTGTCTGTGCTATGAATTTAATAAAAAAGGAAACATTTTTTCTTTTATCAAATGGGAATCTATATATTAAAACAGTTTCATCCTACGGTCATTTAAAGAAAAAATGACACGTGATATGTCTTGAACTTTCTACTGGAAATACAAACAATGCAAATATATTTTTATATTTTTTATATAATATTTAAATGTCAAACAACTTTTGATATTCGATCACATTTTCAGGTGTTTTTTAGTTTTAACAGTGTTCGAATCACTACATCTTAACCTTGAAAATAACAAGAAATGTTTTATTTTTACCGCAGATTTGTCAAAATTTGCAATATTGTGAAATTATTCTTGCTTTTTACTGAAACTGTATTTTAGATTATATTTTATGGATTTTTTCAAAGATTCCTTGTGTTTTGCCTGTATATGGTGTTTATGTTTTCAGTCATTTAGTCACGCCTCTGACCGACTGTATTAGCTAAAGTACAATCCAATAAAATGGCCGCATTAACAAACTTCCATGATACAAGAAAGGTGGCTATTGCAGTCAAGGTATAAGCCCATGATTGTAACAGCTTGACATTGTGCAGATGTGATACAAGATCTAAAAATCAAAAAATATAGCCAGTAAAATTCCACAAACGTTGTTAAATCAATGATGAATATGTTTTCTATCTGACTTGACTGTAAATCTAGTCTCCTAAAGGAATTATGTAATGGCGTTGCATTGTAAAACTAAAAATCTGGTCTCTTGCAGAATCTTGAATTTCATTTCCAAGTAACAGAAATCGGCATCATTTAGAGAGGAAGGAAAACCTCAAATTCAAATAACGTTGTTAAGCCATTGATAAATATGTTTTCTACCTGACTTGACTATTAATCTTGTCTCTAAATCTGTCTGATACCACGATACCGAGATCTAGTACACGTCCATAGGCCATTAAATAAACATTTTCTGCACAAAGTTCTCTATAAGGTAATTTACACGTCGACAATAATCGTGAACGTATCTATATATCATTACCACTTCTTATTTCATTGATCTAATTTTGTGTCTCATTGATTTCGTTAGAATTATTCAATACCTACAGATCTAACTTACTCGAAACACCAGATAGTACTTCTAGTTTGAGTCTACTGCTATACACTTATTGCTTCCAATTGTTTGGACGGGATTTTTGGTTCTGGAATTGTTTTGTTTGTGTGAATGTTTATTAGTAAAAGGTTGCAAAGTGTTTTGTGTTTCAATAGCTAAGCGATTGAAGATATAATCAAATTTTGTCCATTATTATCATCAAATAGAATGAGTAAATTCACTACTAGGTTCAGTAATATATAACTTTACTCTAATCTGTGACTGAATGACTCAGTTTGACTTTCGTTATGTTGTCAAATATATTTTCATTGAACGAAGGGTATGGAAACATTTCATATTTAATATCTAATAAGCCAGTAAACTACACAACGCAATGCAGTGTGCGATGAGGGAAATTTTGTCAGGTCAGTGACACAAGTCCTTTCCTTTTTAATTGTCGAATTGTCGAGGTATCTTCAACATACACCAGCCACTAACAATATGCAAGCGGGTCCTCGGATCATTGTCCTATTTTCAGAACTAAGTTAATATTAATCAAATCGATCTGCTTTACAGGCAGTTGAGTTCCAGGCCCAGTTCTAAAAACAAATTATTCAGATGAAATCAAGATCTTAAGGAACACAACACTTAAAATCACCAGAAACCGAGAAGTCCTGAAACTGTCGCCTCAGAGGAATCATCTCGGCATAGACTCAGAGTAAACCTCTTTTTGAACGGACTGTAAATTGTCAGTAACGCAGGTTATTATGTAAATGGCCAGTATCGCTATTCAACTCACAAGCAGTTAGTAAATTAACAAGAGTATAGTTATTAAGCCGCGAATAGACGAGGTACGGTGTCAGGTGAGGTGTACGGTGTCAGGTGAGGTGTACGGTGTCAGGTGAGGTGTACGGTGTGGGATTATTGATACAGTAGAAAATAGAAAAAACGAATCGTGTCCGCACCTTGTCCGGAACCGTAACTCATGTGTTCACTTATTCTATTTTCGTTTGTATCGATTATTCCGCACCGAAAAAATCACACCGGACACCATACCTCGTCTATTTGCGGCTTTACACTTCATTCAACATGGCTATGAACATGGATAGAAAACTGTCAGTATGTAGGAAATACTGAATAACTTGACCCGAAAGATGACATGATAAAGCGACTATCCATTAAATCTTTAATATTAAACTGTTTGATTCTTTTTTATCTTTTACCGCAAATTGTAATGAGATTTCAGCTGCAATACAGCACTATCACCAATCAGCAATAATGTTATTAAGTATTTAGTCAATCTAATGGTGGTATCAGTCAAATATAGTTTACCCTGATATCACGAGTATCACGAAATGAACAAACTGTAACACAAACAGGTAAGTAGCGTAAGCCTTTTCATTATTTATTACCATGTGCCTATAGATAATATCTAAGATAGGGGTTTACAACCTGGGGGTAATTAGGTAATAGTAAGGATTTATAGGGGAAAGGGAGGTAATAGTAAGGATTTATAGGGGAAAGGGAGGTAATAGTAAGGATTTATAGGGGAAAGGAAAGGGAGGTAATAGTAAGGATTTATAGGGGAAAGGGAGGTAATAGTAAGGATTTATAGGGGAAAGGGAGGTAATAGTAAGGATTTATAGAGGAAAGGGAGGTAATAGTAAGGATTTATAGGGAAAAGGGAGGTAATAGTAAGGATTAATAGGGGAAAGGGAGGTAATAGTAAGGATTTATAGGGGAAAGGGAGGTAATAGTAAGGATTTATAGGGGAAAGGGAGGTAATAGTAAGGATTTATATGGGGAAAGGGAGGTCATAGTAAGGATTTATAGGGGAAAGGGAGGTAATAGTAAGGATTTATAGGGGAAAGGGAGGT